TATAAAATTTTTTAATAATGAAAATTATATGGGTCCACCTTCCCCTTAATTGTGTTTTTTGACCCACCTATATGCATACACACATACATATATATATATGTATAATTCACATTCACTCTTTTTTTTTTAGACATTAATTCTTTTTCTTTAAAGAAAAAAAAAATTGTCTTATTTATTTAGAGCTTTTTAGTTGGTTTTAAATGATATTTATATATGTTCATGCATAATATATGCTTCTATAATTTCTATGTACTATTTTATTAATTGTAAGTCTACTATGTATGCAATAATTGTGTGACCAGCAATAATGTTTTGTCTTTCTTTTCACAATCATTCTGTCATGATACATTCAAAGATTTTACTTTCTCAAAACATTATTTTAAAAAATTAAATATAATATATAATTATTATATATATAATAATTATTTATTTAATTATTTTAAATATAATACAACATGCTGAGTGTAGTAATATTATCACGTGATTAATTTTTAAATGACTATAATTTTTTTTAATATTTTAGTTATTTATTTTTACATAATTTTTATAATATTATTTGTAAAATTATGACGGAAAATTAAATTAAACACGTGTCGTGTTCTGATTAGATTTATATATATGACGTAATATCTTTATATTAAAAATTAAATAAATTAATTATCATTTAAATATAATTATTTAAAAATAAAAGAAAATACACAGTAGGAGTTGGTCCCTTGGCTGTACTGGAAAGTTCGAGAGACAAGAAGGATCCAGCAAGCATTTATTACCCAACCCCATGCATACATACATATATACATACATACATACATACATACATACATACTATATGTAAATTCAAATTTCAAAATATATTGTTATATATATATATATAATTTTAAGATATTTTATTAATTATTACTTGCTGATCTGGCGGTCCCACGTGATTTTGGACAAAATAATTTAATTTAATTTAATATTATGTACTTAAAACATATATTTAATGTTAAAAAATGTCATGTGTATATATATATATGCATATATAATTAATGGGTAAAAATGTTGGTCAAGTATTTGTGCAGATTCCAATTTTTACTCCCTGTTTTCATGAAATTTCTACTGTTGGTAAATTTGTCCATATATATATATATACACATATTACATTATTGATATATATATAATGTTATGAAACTTTATATTATATTAAATCACTAATGTTAGTTTGAATAATAATTAATAATTAATGCGAATAAAAACAAAAAAAGAACCCTTCGGACGTGCATGGAAGTTAATTAAAGTCCAAACTTTATAGTATTAAAGACCTAAGTTTTAATTAATCAAAACATTAATATATACATATTTATATACACATATATATACATATATATATATATATAAAAGTACAATTAGTTTCTCTTGCATTGAAGTGCGAGAAAGAATCACCCACGTCAATCTGTCATTCAATACCAAATCTTCAATTTAAAATCACATTTTATTAATTATATTTTTATATTTATGCTTACTCTAAATCACTCAACTATAAAATTCATGTGTGTATATATATATGTATGTATGTATGTACGTATGCTTTGAATTATCTTATTAAATTATAGTTAATTTTATTAAATTAATAGATGTTATGTGCACACATTTTATTAAGTTAATTATACATTCCGACACATAAATTATGATTATAACTTTTTTAATAAGGCAATTAGAATTATTTATTATTATTAAATGCGATTATTTCTATGATTTTTTTATATAATATTAATTATTTATTACAAAAATAATTAAAATCATTTAACGAGAGATAACGAATAGATTTATAATTTTTTACCACGAACAAAAAGTAATTAAAATTTAAACTAAGTTTAACATTTTAAACATTTTGGATTAGTCCTGATAATTAATTTAATCATAAAATAAAAATTAACTTGTTCATTAAAGAAAAAAGAAAAACAAAAACGTAATTAATTACGCCTAATTTCGCGGGTTCGAAACTTGTGACACGACGTTTAAAAAAGCCGAGGTAAGCCGCCGGAAACGGCGCGGTGCGGTCACCGTCTGAATTAAATGGGGACAGTGGGGGCAGCTGACAGACGGAAAGCGTTTCAGTTTAGGTAACGGTGAGATGGGTAACGGCGTCTGGGTCCCATCCGGGCTGGGGTGTAGTAAATGTCATCTGCTGTTGGGGACGTTAACGTGATATCTCGTGTATAAATTAAAACATGAAAATTGACGGTTCGGCATTTATGAAAAGGGGCAAGGTTTTTGAGATATTTACGAAAATGGGATCGGGTACTCTCTTTATGCGTGCATTGCTTGTTTGGTTTCATCAAATTTATTACAGCTGGGAAATTAATTATTTTTAAATTGTTTGAATAATTTTCAAAAAAATATTGAATTAAATTTAAAATTTAAAAAATAAAATTACCCATGAAAATAAATAAATAAAGAAAAAAATAAAAATAAATACTCGTAACCGGGAGGGATCATCATCGGTCACTCATGGGAATCCTGACTCTCAATCACAAACCCATCCTCCACCGCTGATTTCAAATTTCACTGGGGGCCCCACTTGATGTGGTGGACCACCTGATCAAAAATTTGATCATCGCTGATTCTGAACCACCTGTGATTGTCCGCCTGCTGCTCTTCGAAACCAAACGCGACAAATTTTAAAGCTTTTTAAAGTAAGAAAAAATAAAAAGCCAAACGCGACCTTTTCTTTTCTTCACTATCAAGATCGCGCCTGCACCTGATTCAAATCTCGCATCCAACGACGCCGTTTTGCAATCCCCCAAAAACTGGCCAGAAATTATCTGGGGTAATGAAGGGCATTTTGGGAATCGTGAAGGTAGCGAAAATTTTGGATGACAAAAATTTTAGTTAAAAACAGACAAAACAGATTACGAGTAAAAACGCAACATTAAGAAGGAAAGGAAAAATTTTCAGGATCAGCTAAAATGGTGAAAGGTTTCGGTTGTGGAAGTTCCTCTATGTAAGAACTGAAACCCCTTCCCTAAGCTTTCCGTTTACAAGATGATATGTGTTTTGTGTCTGTGTGTGTGTATATATATATGTATATATATTTCCTTTGAAAATAAGTTGAGTAAATTGATTATGTATTTTTGCGTACGGATGAATGAGTTGTTTTGGCGTGTCTGGCGTGATGAATTGAAGGAAGCAAATGAAAATGGTAAACTATTTCGGTGTTTGGACAAGAGAAAAGCGTTTTTAGTGCTTTGAGAAAATGGTTTTTTCTTCTGAGTTTCTACTCCTGTGCGGTTGTTTGTTTTCTTTTGCTTCAATCATTTTCTGGCGTTGAATTATATGAAGCTTAGCTGGTTTACATGTATGATAGGTAAATAATACAAGTATTATATATATATATATAATATCTCTGATCTTCCTTCTGGTTTCTGTTTGGTTGGTGGATAACATTTGTGCACAGAAGAAAAAACTGTTCAATATTTTGGATCTTATACTTCTCTTGAATTTGATGAGGTTTAGGCTTGGGTGTATCAAAGCTCGTTTTGATGAGATATTAGGCTTTTGCTGTTATGCGTTCTGTTCTTTCTATTATTTTATTACATTTTCCGAGCAACTATACGTGTATTGGAATCTTATTCTGCGCCTGGGCGGAAGTCCTCTCGATTCTGATCTTGATTTGGTTTTCCTTACAATTTTTCTTGCAGGCACGATTTTGAGGGTTAAAAATGCTGATTTAAGTGTTTAATAATTTGAGGTTTAGTATTGAAGAATCTGCAGTCCAATCCGTCAACTCCTCTGTCAACCTCTGATTTAATCGTTCTCTGTTTCGAGGTCGTCCTCCTCGCTTCCTCCATTAGAGAGAGGTAGCTTTTGCGGATCCGAACATTACAAGCTACTTGTTGCTGTTCTTTTCACCGTTTTGACTCAATGATTGAACCCTAAAAAAGAGCAATATGCTGGTTCTGATATAGACAGGAGAATTGTTGGGTTTCTTTCTGTCGCTTCTGCTTCTTCCTCACTTTAAGATTTCAAGTGAAACTGTTACCAAGTCTCAGTTTGGATAGTATAGAGTACGGCCTGACTTCTTGTTTTCCGGTCCAAATGGGTATATATGAATCTTTCAAAGATAATGGAAAAATCATGCAGGATTTTTCACTGGAAGGGAGTGAAGGTGTAAAGTTGAGTTTCTTTCAGTGTGATTCCTGAGGACTTGAAGAGTTCATGTGAGTCACTGAAAAGGGTCTTTTCACTTTGAAGGTTTTTCTGTCTGTCTGCGAATTCAACTGGATAGACACAGTTAGCAATGTCGGTTGTACATGTTATTAAATCCAACCTGGTGGGGGCAGACCAATAATGCAAGAAACCTTTTATTCTTGTTTGTGTTTCTTTTTGACATGTTTTAAAGCTATCTACCTCAATCATATTGCTATGATGGAGAGGTATGAGAACTCGGTAATCGGTTGAGCAAAAGGAATTTCCATAGAGTCTTTGGTCCGCGTGTTAAATGAGTCGAGAACAGAAACGAGGGAAGCCGGACAAGCCCGGCTCTGATCTGGCCGAGAAGGTTGTTGTTGCCGTCAAGGCGTCCAAGGAGATTCCTAAGGCTGCTCTTGTCTGGGCTTTGACTCACGTTGTTCAGCCTGGTGATTGCATTACTCTGCTTGTTGTCGTCCCTTTACATAGTTCAGGTACGATCTTCTCGTTCTGTGCAAAGTTTTGAGTTATAAAGCATGGTGTATGGTTATTTACTCTATTTTGATTGGCATTTCTCTACCTGGATCATCCACCTTGGTTAGTGTTTCATTATATCACGTTCTGTCATGGTGGAAAGTTTGGTGGGAAGGGTAAGTTTTCTCAATAATTAATCTTCTAGTTAATTTGGAGTTGCTTTGTGCTCGAAACAAGTGACCTGTTCTCAGTTTATAGTTTTAATTTATGTTGTTCGGATGCTTTTGAGTGGTTATCTAGGAACATATATGGTCAATAAATATAGAAAAACAAGGAGAATTCTTCTTCTGTTCCAGATCTTGGACTCTTATTGTCTGGGTGTTTTCTTTCGTTCTTCTTCCTTTTTTAAAAAAAAAAAATTATCTAAGCAAGGCTTAAAAATGACATTACCAAAATATGTTTGCGGTTGTTGATCCAAGGAATTCTCTTTTATATGTTTTTTTATCAAAGAAAATAAATTCTGGTGCTCCTTGTTTGAAAATTTGTACTCATTACTGCTTGTTTACTGCTATCCAGGTAGAAAACTGTGGGGTTTTCCAAGGTTTGCTGGGGACTGTGCCAGTGGTCACCGAAGGTCTAATTCAGCTTCAAGTCCAGAGCAGAAAAGTGATCTTACTGATACCTGCTCCCAGATGATTCTGCAGCTCCATGACGTTTATGATCCAAATAAGGTTCGTTTCTTGATATAGTACTAATATGCATAAATCTCTTAGATTCCTCATGCTTGATTCAGATTCCTGCCCTAATTTTAATTTGCAGATCAATGTCAAGATTAAAATTGTTTCTGGATCACCTGGTGGGGCAGTATCTGCTGAGGCCAAAAGAGCCCAAGCCAGTTGGGTTGTATTAGACAAGTAGGTGCTATATTTGCCATTCTTCTGCTTTCTTTTTTGTTGTTCTTTATTCCTGTGAAAAGCAAACTCCTTATATATATTATTTGATAAATTGATGCAAGTTTATCTTCTGTTATCTCTTTTCTTCATACTTGATCCGTTCTATATCTTATTTGTAATTGTTCTGCATTCAGTCTAATATTATTTGGGTTTTCTTTACAGGCAGCTTAAGCACGAGGAAAAACGCTGTATGGAAGAGCTTCAATGCAACATTGTGGTTATGAAACGTTCTCAGGCTAAAGTTCTACGCTTAAATTTGGTTGGGTTATCTAAGAAGGAAGCAGAAACTGAGTGCCCGTTACCTGCAGAGCAAGCTGAAATTTTTGAGATGAATGTGAAAGATAAAAATGGATCTTTACATTCTGTTAGAGGACCAGTTGTAACTCCAACAAGTAGTCCGGAGCTAGGGACCCCATTTACTGCTACTGAAGCAGGTACCTCATCAGTATCAAGCTCAGATCCAGGCACTTCACCTTTTTTCATCTCAGAAGTCAATGGAGACCTTAAGAAAAATGAATCATTAGTGACTAAGGAAAATCATGATACTGATGAATCCAGTTCAGATACAGACAATGAAAACTTATCTATATCTTCGGGAAGTTTGAGGTTCCAGCCATGGATATCAAAATATCTCAATGCTCTTCATCAATCCTCCCCACAGAGAGAGGAAAGTTCACGGAGAACTAATGACAAGATTAGTGTATCAGCGACAAAAGCTTTGTTAGAGAAGTTCTCAAAACTTGATAGGGAAACTGGAATGGGAATGTCAAACCATAGGAGTGATCTGGAGTTCAGCGGAAATGTTAGAGAAGCAATTTCTCTATCCAGAAATGCACCTCCTGGCCCCCCTCCCTTGTGTTCAATATGCCAACACAAGGCACCTGTATTTGGAAAACCTCCAAGGTGGTTTACCTACGCTGAGTTGGAGCTTGCTACTGGTGGATTTTCACAAGCTAATTTCTTGGCAGAAGGTGGGTTTGGTTCTGTTCACAGAGGAGTACTACCAGATGGGCAAGCAGTTGCTGTTAAGCAACACAAATTGGCTAGTTCTCAGGGAGATCTAGAATTTTGCTCAGAAGTGGAAGTTCTGAGCTGTGCCCAACACAGAAATGTTGTCATGTTGATAGGATTTGTATTGAGGACAGAAGAAGATACTAGTCTATGATACATATGCAATGGTCACTGGACTCTCTCTCTATGGATTTCTCTTCCTTCTTGGAATTTATGGTGCACGATGCAGAGGCACTGAACTGTATAAG